AGTTGACTAATTTACCATCTTTTCCCCAGATCATCCAGTTATTTGTATACCTAATGTCTCTCATATACATCTTTAAACATATTCTAAAGCTTTTTCTCTGTGGTAATTTTCCCCACTTTAGGAAAACAAAACAAAAAAGTTCCATATAAAAATCTTTTGTCAAACTTGTCATAAAGCATGACATAAAATATATACATTCCACCTAACACTGGAAAACACATGTAAATATATAAGTTATTCACACCAGGGAACCAAAATAGAGAAACTAAAAAGAAAATTAAATTCAGATTACTATTAAAATCAAATTTGAAAACAGTTATGGCATGACAGCCTTAGATAGAGAGATTGGCCATATTAGGACAAATGTCTATTTAATCAAAAACAAAGAAAACCTTTAGAAAGATCATGCATCTATGCCATTGAAAACCAGACTGTTTTGAGAACATCATGGCAAGTGTCCTGGCATCCAGTTTATTATGCATTTTCAAACAAAAAGAATTAACACAAATTCTTCCTGTGGATTGAGAGATAACTATTTTTGACATGTTATGATTAAAAAATTTGGTTTCTTAAAATCTGTTAAAATCAGAAACTGGAATATTACATTGGAATAGACCAAGTTTCCAACAACTCGGTATTTTGATAAACAAATACCAGAATAAACATTAAATTGGCAAAACTGGAAACACTATAGTTGCTACAGGGATTTTATGTAAAAAACACACTAAAAGCCAATGAGGCCAGCCTGTACCAGAGAAGAAGCAGGGAGCATAGACAGATGAAGCCAGAACTCAGGGGGCAGTGTGGTATACTTTAGCAGCAATCATTCTCCCTTTCCCCCCACATTCTTTGTCTTGTGAAGATGACATAGTCTCAATGCAAGACTTTACAGTGTAGCAGTAAGGCACTCAAAGGGACAGAGAAATACATAAATTGTTTTGGTGATATTGCTACACTGAAACCTCTGGAAGTGAGGGAGAAGAAACCATGGTTCTCCATAGCTTTGAAGTAGAAACCAAAGCAGGAGATTTAGGCACAAGATCCACCTGATACCTTTTTTTTACAAAAGAAGTCACTGTGCTCCGTTGCAGGAATAATAAATCAATATTTTGCGTTGTATATGATGTTGGACAAAACGATCTAATACTCCTTTTTGCATAGCAGTCTGTGCATCTTTGATTTGATCAGAACTGTTTTATTTTATGCTAAAATGGATTCAGCTACATCAAAACCACCAGAGAAGTTAAGAAATGGAGGAGGAAAAAGCCTTGTACCAGTAAGGAAATTATTAAATAAAATCTCACCTCAAACTTAAATCCAAATTATAACCTTTATGCCCCTATGCAACATTTGCTAGTTTTTCTGAAATAGTTATAATACTTCCACTACAATTGTATTATCAGAATATGGTTATTTACATTGGGCCTTCTTACTTCTTGTTGTTGTTTTCTTTCCAATAATTACAACGTATTTTCAGCAGGCACCATCCTACCTTTAAAGTTAACTTTTGCATGCTGTTTTTACTAGCAGAACTAATAGTTTGTGGTGATACATTATATCCATATTAATTCTGATTTTACTGTCATGCAGATGTGGATTTGCACTGAAATAGGATGAATTTCTGTAGCCGTGTGAGCAGAGACCTCGTGATTGGTGATGACTGCTGAATGACAACTGTAAATTGAGGATCAGTCATAAAACTTGTTAGAAAACAAGTCTAATAGATGGGAGCCTCTCACTGACTAACAAGCATAACAATACATTTATTACTAGAAACGGTATGATTTTTTTAACCTTGTGATATTATGAAATACGGTGATTAGATCACCTTTTTTCATCACAGGAATCCTTAGTTTACATATGGAAAAAAAAGAAGATTATTTTTATTTCATTATTAACACGGCAGTCCAATTTTTTGGAGAGTCCCTTAAATGTAGTGTTTCCTTATTTAATGAGAGCTGTCACTAAACCAAACAGATGACTCTTTCATACAGGTTTCAACATGCAAATTCGTTTCAAATAGATATCCAGCTAGGCAAAATCAGCTCTTATTCATTGCAATCACAATATGTTCTTGACCAATCCACAAACATACTCACATGCAAATGGTAATTTTAAAAAGCTGCTTATCTACTGAGCATCTCATAAGGAAGTTCTTATAATCTGAATGTCTTTCTAGTTTTGTGAAAAAAAACACCTTTCTAGCACATAGAGAAAGTAGTTTCATAGGCCAGCAAGGGATATAATGGGAAGAAGCAGTGAAATCAATGGAAATGAAAAGAGTAAAGAAAAATCTAACAAATGTTCTTCATGCATACCAACATAAACCACTACTGTATATACGTTGGAATAGTTTTGACAGAGCACAAGTCTTGATATTTTGGCGATAAAAGCAGTGCTACTGCGTGCTATAGCTTAATAAGGACAGCCTTCTAGTATGAATGTTTGACAGAAAATGAAAACAAATTGAATATTACAACCAAAATATTAGCTCTTTATTAAAATTCTAAAGCAGAAGTCTGAATTACATTAAACCATAAAGAAAAAAGTGAAAATAAGCTAAAAAGTCTATCTTTTATTGAATTCTGCATAAAACAAATAGCTTACCTACTGAAGAGTAAATTGAATTTTTAATTTAATTCATCTAAAAGTCAGTTAATAAAATTTACCTATTTTATATATTTGACTTTTAACTTGAATCTCGCTTATTTCTTTCTTTCTTTTAATTTAAGCTGGATGATCAGAAAGAGCTAACATCATTCATACAATAATTTGCTTATTACAGAATGTAATGATTTGATCAGTGAGGGTGATGAATGACAAAACAAGTGAAGTCATCAGCTGAGAAGAGTAAACAGAACTAGTACCTCTACGGCAAGATAAAGAGAACTTGTGATGACCACATATATTAATAAATAAATTCTTACTAATTTCTATATCCTTTTTCTCTGTATGAAAATTCTCCAAACTGATTCAAAACTGGGAAGAATTTTCTGCATATTATTCTAGTAAAATAGTCTGGATACAGGTTATTTTGATGGCTGTAATATATTCTCTACACAAGAATAAAAAATGTTATGATGGTAAAGATCAAATGAGGATCACAAGTGAAACAAGCTCTACCTATCTAAAGTGCAATCCAATTAAACTATTATATAGCTCTATTTAACGCAATTTAATTATGCTACCTAGTAAAATTAAAACAGACTTCGTGCTTTCAAGTGAGTAAAAACTGAACCTTTAGTGCTTCAATTAATTCTTGAATGTTTCAGCTGAAACATACCTAGCCTAAAATTATGATCTAAAATCATATTATGTCCCACTTCATACATACTCTAATATATCATTCTTATAGAAAACTATATTATACATTAGAAATAACACCCCAAGTAAAAATTATTTTAGTGCCAAAATACAATTTAATAATTGTTGTTTAACCAGTAGCATTTTTTCCTATTCTCAACAGTGAGTTGATACAGAAGTATAGAATTTATTTTGAAAACCAGGCTATTTTATTGACACATAGAGCAAGAGAAAAAAGCTGCTGAAGTCATGAATTTTAGGTTCTGTCCAATGTGGGCAAATTCTACTTTCAATTTTTGAAAAAAAATATTCAAACCAGTTTTTAATTTTCAAAATATAGTGTGGAGTTCTGACATTCAAAAAATTCTAGGATTTTCAACTTCAAAGTAACTACTACTCTTCATTTGTGTTTACTGGATGCATTTAAGCCTTGCTTGTTTTCACTGTCAGTTAAGCACCTGAAATCTGAACGAGGAATGACACTTTTTTCAGAAGCTCTGTTCTTCTATTAAGTTATGCACAATACAGGCAAATGTTAATATATACTCTTTTTTATAACTCAAGTATAAAATTCTCTGTTGCTGTGAAAGATCCCACTATGTTCAAGTGGGATAGTTATACTATTCATGAATTATGACTCATCACAATTTTTGTTTTCAGGAAATAATACTGCATGGGTTTTTTGGATAAAGTAATAATTTCTTGCATGGTACCAAAAATTGTATTTAACCATAAGATAATCACCTTAAGATTCAAATTGGAGAGAATTTTCAGATCATCTAAATCTAATGCTTTTACATTAGTTCCTAAAAATTAAGTCCCCTAACTTCATTGACTTTTTGAATACTGATGAATCTGTATTATTACTGATGCTTTATCTCCTTTCTGTATTTTTAAACTGCCGCTACCCTATCTTTCACAATTCTCTTCCCTATTACTTCCAAATCTCTATGTGCAGACCAGAATATTCAGAAGAATGAGGTGAAAGTACTCCTTAGGGCAGCAAAGGGTAAGGTCAGTATAAACCCATTTTCCCAACTGAAATATAGGCTGATTGACTAAGCTCCTAGGTAAAGTTCTTCATGCTCATGTTTATGTAACCACAATATTCTATACCACAGTTGTAACAGAATGCATCTTCCCAATAGCACTGTCAGACATTGCCACAATGAGCTTTTAATCTGGAACAGAATTTGGAGATATACCATAGATAAGTAAGAATAAAGTGTTAAAACATATTACCTCGGTATTCTGAACAACTGGAAATTTTTTGAAATAAGGTACCAAAACTATACCAATATCAGGCAAACAAACTGATTAAATGCAGGGAAGTTACAGATACTGATATATCATTTACATTATTTAACATTTACATCAAGCATAGTTATGCTCAGCAACACTGTATTTTTCTTACATTTTCAGAAAAATTATAAACTGTTAAAATTTAACATATGAAATGTAATTATTTTCAAGCTGTCAAGGGAAAGGTACGCCTTCATAATTAAGTTTTCACAGTATTCTTACTCCTGTATCTTATACATACATAGTGCTTTTTTTACAGAAAGTACTATGTAGTCCTTAATCTGACAACATAATATCACAATGCATTCTGTCACAAAAACTGTGTCAGTCTGCAAGAACATCTGAGTGACTAAAAGACTAGTCTCAAAGGTTTTGCATCAGTCTGAAATACTTACTGTCGCTGGGGAGGCCCGTGTTGTATGAGTCACTGTATGACCAGAATTTTCCATTGAATTGCCAATCAGATAGGTTCCTCCTGAGCTGCTAATGAGTTGTCCTCCTGTTACGCCCATCTGAATCCCTCCAGTGCCCACCATGCTATGAGACGAGACCACTGTTGTCACCTGTGCAGAACTTCCTTGAGTATCAAAATAATTTCCCCCAGTGTTTTGACTGTACATCTGGGTTTCTGTGTAAGGATAAGTTGTTGATCGGCTTCAAGAAAAGAAAATAAAAGAAAAGGAAAATGTATTATTTGTATTTCATTTAGCTGAGGGTAATGTTATAACTCTAGAAATTGATTTACAAAAACAAATATCAAATCAAATCAGATTGGTAAACAGTCCCTGTCTCCTCAAAGAATAACAATTAATCAAGTCAAAGCATTAAATAACTAACTCAGTGTCAATGATAAGCCAAGTATCCACTGAACATTACAGAAAAACTGTCAGTCTTACACGAAGAGGAAGAAAGAAAGGAACAAAAAAATTGAAGGCAGGTACATAAAGCTAATACAATTATTAATATATTGCAAATATTAATTATATTTAATTTATAAAGCTTTGCCTGCATCAACTTCGTTTAAAATTTGACAACAGAATTTTAATTTCCAGTTGGATGTTATATGTTTTGCACAACTACAAACAAATTTGCAAAATTACAAACAATTCATACAAATGTCAGCTAACAGAGCCCAATGTTCAAGCAACCTCTGTTGTCTATTGTTTTTAAATTCACTGAAGCTCTTGAATGAAGCTTGAAGATATGAGTCTGCTGGTATTTTGGGAAATGCAGTTATTTTTGCAGGGCAAATTTCAAATCAGACGTGAATTCGTGTAATGATACAAAACTGCATTTAAGGAAAAAAACCAAACATAATTATGATTTGTAAAACTGTCACAAAGATTAAAGAAGTTAAAGGAATGCCACAGCAACATTTTAAAAATAATTATCAAGCAGGAAACATTCACATTAACCAGTTCACCCTAATAAACTACTCAGCTACTGAAACCTTCTATCATATGTTTCATGTTCTTATTTATTTATTTTGAATCATTATTCTTCATGTGTTATAATTTTTTAATTTCTACTTATAATTTTTGAATTTGTATTTGTTCTTGTAAACTAAATTTGATATTTAACTCAACGTATTTCAAAATTATAAAATAAATAGAACTAATTTTTTCGAAGACTGGATCTTTTTATGTTGACAAGCATGATAACAAGTAAAAATCAGTCAGTTTACCCAATCATTAATTTTCTCATTTAAGCATAAAAGTATGTAACATTCCATGTAATCTACAGGCAATATCAATTTATATTGCATGTAACTAAACAAGTTAAAAAAACTCCAACAAACAAACAACAAAATCCCAGACACTTTTGTACAGAAACACAAGAGGTGGATGCTGCAGTCTTGCTTTATGCAGTAAGCTGATTATTAAGACACCTATGCAAGAATCTGAAGTCAGGCTTTTCTTCCCCTTTATCTATACAATATTTATTTTTTATTAATATATAGAAAAAGTCAAGGCAATTTACTGCTATTTTTTTAATTATGAAAACTTATGTAAGATTACTTAATTAGAAAACAACAGACCCAGAAATTATAATTGCTTCTTTACCTTCACAAAAGTATTACTTCTTAATAACCGAGGAACATAATAGTACCTCATCAACAAAATCAGAAATTTTGCTTTATTAACTACGGCTTCAACAGTTTCTCCCTTCCCCTGCACAGACTTCCAGAATCTCCAAAACTTAAGTTTCAAAATCTGAAAAGCCTCGTACTACCTTATTCCTTCTTACTCCTTTTCAAGCTACTTAAACATTTTCCATTTTATTTTGAGTATTTCAAAAGCCCCAGGATCAGCTGCAAAAAACCTTTAAGCTAATCCAAAAGAAATGCCTTGCAGTCTGCTGCAAACAAAGCAAAATAGTTCTTTTAGGGACTAATGCTCAAACAGACACTTAATCTATTAACCCTTCTTTTGGAAGTTAAAAACAGTCGATCTTTTCATTGCACTAATCTATGTATGTATTGAGGTTCTGTGCAGGTCCTGATTAATCTGTTCTCTCAAAGGTATCATCGTGATACTTTGTGATACCGGAAGGGACACTATTTATCTTAAAATCATAGATAAGATCTACTGAGCTGTTAAGGTTCAAAACAAAATCAAGTCCAACCATTAACTGAACACTGCCATCTTCATCCCTAAATCATGTTTCCATGTGCCACATCTAGATTTTTTGTGAACATTTCCAGGAATGGTGGCTCCACCACTTCCCTAAACTGTCTGTTCCACTTCTTGATCACCCTTTGCAAGAAAGAAATTTTTTCTTAATATCTTGGTTCACCTTGAGACGAGCACAACAACCACTAGCAGACACGATGTTGCCTCTATCTTTACATGTGTGAACCATGCTATGCAGCAGAGAAGAAATGTAGGGAAATGTTGTGATATTGGCTCAGGGGAAACAGTTCATGGAAATGATCAACAAGTGACTGACACTGTAGTTTCTCCCAAAAGAGGAAAGAAAAATCTTGGTATCAGCTGTCAGTAAGAGAAGTAATGAAAGGATAAGATCGTTGTTGACAGCAAAAACAGACATGGCTAGAGGAAATACACTGCACAAAAGATGCAAGGAGAAAAAATCTCACTTATAAAAGTGGAATTGAATATTGGAAGCAATGCAAATCCTAGAAAACGCTTCAAATTTCTCCTTCAAAGAAAATGAAGTAGCAGATTTGGTGTGGCATAGGAGACAGAATACTTGTTTGCTTTTACTTTGTTTAGGTATATCTGTACATCATACATATCATCTCTAGACCTCTATATCACACATAGTCTCTAAATAAGGACTGACTGTAACAGAGCACCTATTTCTGCCTACAAGAGCACTCTGTATCAATGTATCAATGGGATACATCAATGGGTCTGACTCAAAAGTAAACACACTCTTCCATTTGGTCCAACAACCAGCAGGCTTTTCTAGAATACCTGATCATTGGAGATGATTTAGCAAACCTTTCACAACAGAGATCAACTGTGTACTTAAAAGTGAAATGAAACTATAATTACATGTAACAATAATTTCAACTTAGCAAACAGACATTTAATTTAACCTAAATTATTCAATCTGGAAATTAAAAATGCAGCTGGATAAGATGATGTTTTAGAAAGCAGTTTTGAAAAATTGTATTTTTAGAAATCAGACTTGAATATTTTAAGGTCATTGCACATGGTAACACTACCCTTTAAAATAAAATTGAAGCAAAGAGGAAAATAACTTCAAATAAGGAAGTGATCTTCTATTTCTCCACAGCACTTGTAGCACAAATACGTTATACTTTCTCAAATAGACTGACATATATCATAGCCAGTTCCTTCCCACTGCAAAGGTTGTAAAAGCATTCCTAGCTCTTCTCTCCTTTAACAGCTGCATATAAAACCACACAGTGAGTAATCTCTAAATTTTCATGCTCTTTATGAGAACACATTGATGATTAACTCTTGCTTGAGACAGCAGGAAGGCTACAGAAACTGATAGTTCTTACTATTGAAACACTGAAGTTTGGTGCTTACTAGAATACAGTACTAGAAATCTTACCAGTTACAAGTAAATTTAAAATCTAAGTAGTTAGGCTGCAGAATCCTAGTTTCCAGAAGGCCGTGAAAACTAGATCATGTGTACCCTGAGAGCAAGCAACAGAAAGTCAGGCATTGTGTGAATTCAATTCAGATTAAGCAAGCCTAGAACAGGTGCCTGATGTTAAGATCCCACATTAGAAATTAACAATACCAGCAAGAGTTGGACTAGCATTGCAAGGTACAATAATTCAAGGCATTTCCTATTATGCCTCATTGCTTGCTTACATAAATTTTGATTTACAAAATATAATGTTAACATAAAAGAGTTGGAGTTGTGGTACAAAGTTGTTTAAAACACTATTTTTTGAATATGAAACCAGAAAATAATTAATTTCTATATTCAGTAAGTCCCAGAATTACCATGCAAAACAACTGTAATGTCTTTCCCTACATTACTGGCTCTAACATAATGTTATTGAGCCCAACTTTTACAGACACTTTTGTCTCTTGAAAGACACTGACATTCTAAGAAAAGGAGAAAACTAAAAACAACATCACTGAAATAGTAAATTTGTTCTTGTCCTCCCTTAGTTTTCAGTGTGCACATGCACACATTGTAAATAATTTAATCCCATCTGCACCTATGATCAGATTCTATATAAATACCCGATCCATTGACTATTATGTATCAGTGTTCAACCTTAGAACACCTCCAAACCAAAACCAAAAGAAATTCTTTCATCCCAGAACAATATCCTCAAAGTCCTTTAAGTTTTTAGGATAATTCTGTGGTCCTTAAGCTAATAGTGAGCTTGACAGAAACTAGAGAGAACAGAATCCTTTGTCTAATACAGAGGGAAGACCTCGTAACAGCCAGATTCTGGAGGTGATGTATCCTAAGCAAAGGGAAGAAAAGGTAGTGCCATACACCCTGAGACTATCACAACAGAACATGATATAGCCATTAAATTATAATAGAGAGGCATTTATTAGCCATAAAAAAGAACTGAGATTTCAACACTCAGTCCAAGATCATTTCCCACATGCAAACAAAGCAATAACAGCGCACGCAATGCACAGCAACAGAAAATCCTGCAATCCAGGGAATATAGTAAATGAAAACAAAGGTGCAATTCTATAAATTTTATTCTAAGGATTTGTAATTCAGATAGTTAAGGAAGCATTAATTACACATTTCTAAAATTCTGATGAAGTACAGCAGAACTAAAGTCCAAGAAATATGACACTGCCACTGTTAGGAATATGTCAAAGGGCACATACTAAATCTGCAAGACCTCATGAGCTGGGCTTTTCAGGCTCTCTTTGTCTACGCTTCTCTGTCTTAGTCTAGAGTTTTGTTCTAGCAGTGATTACTGTTCAATTAGATAAATGTTACTTAATCTGTTTCCATTTTAGCATAGCTTTCTATGATTGTGTGGTATGAAACCTATCATTAAAATGCTGAGGCATTGTAGTGTCTAACAGACAATATCAAATAGCTGTTCTGTACACACTAAACAATCTGTGACCCTAAATCAAAACTGTAGCAAAGAGGATCATGAGGCGGCATAACAGTATTCAAGAAGTATCCATTCTTACAAAAACAGACCACAAAAACCAAATTCAAATAAACTATGGAAATGGAAACCAGTGAAGAACAGACAAAGTATAGACTGTGCTAGAACACATTAAAAATAGCTGCAAGTGGACACACTCTGGAGTGGCCCTCACCACCCATCATACATTGTCCACATGTAACATCTGTGTTAGTAGTAAATTGCTGAAATTCTCTGTAACTCAGAGAGGAGCTATTCACTTTAGTATGCATAAGGGTAGTAAAAGGAAAAGGATGAAAAGAAAAAGGGATAGATACTAGAAACTAATACGAAGACTACAATTTTAACTATTTTGATAACAATTACTTCATTTAACCATTAAGATTTCAATTAGGGTAATAGTAAATTCTTGGGTTTGCTTAAATGGTGTGTTTTGCCAATATAAACACCACAAATTGTTGTACAACAAGTTGGTGAAGAATACTGTTTGGATCCAACAGCAATAGCAATCCTTGCACAGTCCCAGCAATCAAAACCTTCTTTGCCACATCAGAACTATCAGGTAAGTGACTACCTTTTATTTATGTATGAAAATTCTTAAGAAGAAAGTTCACTTCTAGGTGAACATAGGTGCAGTAATAATAGTCTTAATGTTTTCTGAACAGCCAGGTAAGGCTGTACATGTCATTGCAAAAACAATGCACTTTTGCTTCAGGATAGAGTGGCACGCTGACAAGCAAAACGGCTGTTAACTAGAGACAAATGTAGATAACGTAGTTCAAATATTCTCATATCATTGTGACAAGCTGTGGGCTACACCCCTTTTATTACTATATTCCCTCCAATTATAATAAAACCAAATAACTTCTAAGTGTAGACAAATCATGATATAAAATGTTATAAGAACACAACAGTTACACTTAACAAAGACTGTGAAACCTGACAAACTTCTTACTTTTATAATTCAAAGAATTAGGTAACTTTTTCCTGATATATATTGTAACTGCATCCTTTGTAGTTGCTATTGTATATGGACTTAAATCAGTGCTAGTTGGCAAGTGTTGTATTTAAAATAAAGGACAATTCTTTCCAGAATTGTAGAATAGTTTAGGTCAGAAGGGATCCTAAGGATCTTCTAGTCCAACTCCCCCTGCCATGGGCAGGGGTACCTTCCACTAGTCCAGGTTACTCAAAGCTCCATCCAACCTGGTCTTGAACACCGCCCGGGATGGGGCATCCACAATTTCTCTGGACAACCTTCCTCACCACCCTCTGAGCCAAGAATTTCTTTGTAGTATCTGATTTAATCTAATCTAAATCTCTCCTATTTTAGTTTAAAACCATTGCCCCTTTAGCCTATCATTATCTGCCTGTATAAGATGTCCCTCTCCCACCTTTTTCTGTAAGCCTTTTGCTAGTAATGGAAGGTCACAATAAAGCCTATTAGACTGTCCTCATCTGTCCTCATAAGACAGGGGCTCCAGTGCTCTGGTCATCTTTGTGTCCCTCCTCTGAACCTGCTCTAACAGTTCCATGTCTCTCTAATTCTGACGACCTCAGAACTTGACAGCACTCCAGGTGGGGTCTCATGAGAGCAGAGTGGAAAGTGAAGTCTTTCATCAGGCACGCTGTGACAATCTACTCCAGAGATTCCAGTATGAATTCATGTCTTCACCCTAACTATGGTTTGCAGATTTATTCTGTTGCTAGAGCAGTATTGTTGCTTGATAGATTATGGAAGAATTCTGTATCTGATATTGTGTTAGAATTAAGATTTGGATTTATCATAAAATACATCAAACACATAATCATGGGAAAACTACCCAAAATCTGGTCTATAAAAGCATATGGGAAATGTGTTTCACTACATAGAATCTTTAAAAAGTCTGAATAGAAGCAAAGACTGGGTTCATTCTCTGCTAATGAAATTACAATCTTTAGAAAGGCTAATCTTCCTGTAAAGATTGAACAACAAATTGCCTGTCCACTGCATTGCTGCTCACAACAGCATAGGTAAAATCTTCTTTGTAGGAAGGAAAAACAATCTAGATTTGGGTCACGTGCTAAGAAGAGCTTTCTTCTTTTATATCCTATTCACTGATTTTGCAACAACTGACAGAGGGATTCAGATATAGAAATACAGTAAAATAATGGAAACCTGAAGGTTCATGCCAAGCAGCCAGTCACATGTGCTTCTGTTTTTCCCTTGGACTGTAATCAGTACTGTAGAACACTTTTTAGACCCTGCCAAAAGTCCCAACAGCACACAAAATAATTTAAAAGTAATGAATGAAAAGAGAAACTTGAAAAATAGCTTATTTAAGAACGACCTCTTTTGGAGGCTAATGGTAGACTATCACAGTCACAATGACATTAGGCTGCTGGATGTGTGTGCTGGCTTTGGCTGGCGTAGAGTTACTTTCTTCACAGTAAATAGTATCAATGCCATTTGTAGCACAAGCCTGAAACACAGCCACGCACTAGCTACTAGGAAGAAAATGAATCTATCCCAAACAAAATCAGTACAATACAGAAGTCAAATGCATATTTAAAATACATTGTTTAGTATTTACAAGTGAGAAGAAAAAAAAAAGGAGAAGATAGTACATGAAAAATTAATAAATCAAAATGTGCTAGTAGAAATGACCAAAGAACGATGTCAGTGTTAGCATCCTAAGTCTCTGAATCCAAATAATATTAGTCTTTAGAATTGTTTTTGGATTACCATCAATACGTTAGTACCTTCAGACAATCAAAAAGCTTTATAAATTGTACTTCTTCATAAAGCCAGTTAGAAAGCAAAAATAGTAAATGAAAAAATGACATTGAGAAGCTCCTTTCCAAGCAATACAGTCTACTTTGAAGTTTGAGCCAATTTGAAAGGTGGTGTTGCACCAAGTCTGTTACTAGACTAGGTAAGGTCCAGAGAACAGATCAAAGCTCAATTTTTTTTCTTAGTCTTTCTTAAATTGTGTATTGAAGAAAGAAACTTGATGAAAAGGCATGCTCAGGAAAGCAGGAAATGCACAATCATGTGAAAAAAGATGTTAAAGAAGCAGCAAAATGTGACTTAATTTCCTTCCTCTGCTTTTCCTCATTCCTTTGTAAAAAAAACCAAACTGATCTAATTTTATGAAACACAGGAACGAAATCACATTACAACTTCTTTAGATAGTAACTACAGCTGCTGCACCTCTCTATCATTTGCCACTAGGATTGCAGCCAGGAAGACAGAAGGCCCTGCCTTTTGTCCTGAGGACAGAAGTTTCACAATATGTCTTTCAGACAGAACATATCCATGAACTAGAAGATACTTTTTCAAACAATGCTATGCCATATGGGTGCAACTAAAACAATCACAAAAATTCTACTTACACAAAACTTCTGCCTTAATAAAAAAAAAATAGAGTGAACTCACATTTTCATCCAAAAAACTATTTTGACACAAGAATAACTGTAATTGAATAATTCTTCTTTCCAATTTAATATACAGTAGTCAATAGAATCTAACTGAAAATATGTATTATACTTCACATTTTAATGAACATTAAAATTCTGACCATTTTCCAACTTACATAGCTCCATTAGTGTAGACTGTGTCACTTCCCTCCACATACTGAACCTGGGCTGGGTAGACATGCTGTACCTGTTGCACAGTCTGTACTTGCTGTACCTGAAAATAAGAAAACCATAAGTTTGGGATATCATAAAAAAGTACCAATGCTTCCGTGCACCTAGTGGCTTCTAAACAATTTAGGATATCTCTGTTCTCAACATTACATGTGTATATCACAGCACTTGCAAAGAAAATTAGTGTTCTTACACAATATTTGTTCTATAAGTTTGGTAAACAGAGCCCTAACACTGAAGATGCACACTCATGAAACATATCTTCAGTGCCAAAGACTTAACTAACTGGAGAGCACAAAGATGAGATGAAGTGTTACTTCCGTTTGCACCAAGCTGAAGAATTATAATTACTACAGAAGAAAGTATAATTTCGTTATATTTATGCTTTTTCTTATTTCATTTAAGTCCTAAATAGACCAAGCCATAAAATCATAGTTCAAACACGTTGCAGTAAGTCAAGAAATAAATGTTCTCGTTAAGATGCTTCAGCTCTTTTTTAACTGGAGTAAAATTACAGTGATACAAGATTTTTTTTACAGTGTACAATTATGGGCCAAATCCCCAGTCTGAGTAACCCCTTTCTGAGAATATTATCAGCTATTAAAAACTCCAACACAATCTTGTTTTACTTTAATGAACTAAACAAAAAGAGGCAGTAAGACATGGATTATCATCCCATGTATTGCTAAGGACAGTCACTCATCAATTCCTTTGGTTCATACTGTACTATACTGTAGGAATATTTCAGGTTATGCAAATTTTCTCTCCAGTCGTATTTTTTTGTCTTCTGCCACAGTAAAGATGAAGAATTTAATCTTTTACACCTTCCATCTTTCAGAGAAGCCATATTTTGGTGCAAGAGCAGTCCAGAATCTAAAATATGCTAAAGGACTTACAGAGACTTCACAGATAGACAAATTTGACCCAAGGAACTGAATCAAGAAAGCATCAATGCACTTATTTATTAAATAGATTTAATGTTTGGTGACAATAATTTTTCTCATACTTATTGTTATAAAGCTACTTCAGTCTAATCCAGTTGGTTCTATGGACTGCAAACACCATAATTCCTTATCAGTCTGGGTTTCATGCATTTGATGAACCTCCTCTGAGAGCTCTTTAAAAATATCCTAACCTAATACTTTCACCTGTGTTGCGTTTTAAAAAGTTCTGCAAGAAAATTTTTTCATAATATTGACTGACTTTGAAACAAAAATCTAGATCTTCACAGAAACCTTCCCTTACGTTGACATTAAAACCCGAAGTCTGAAAAAGGGACAAAACAGCCAAAGCTTAGAATGCAGCCATGATGAAAAATCAGATGCTTCTATCCATTAACACCAATTAGACTGAACATGATGGCTATGATATCTATTAAAATCCAAAGTTTTCTGATTTCCTACATTAATCATTACATAAATTATGAAATACTCCTGAAATACAATTTTTCAACTTCAAAAAGTATACTTTGAAGATGTTTGCTTAATTATTAAGGTAAGGCAATTGTGTACATTTCTTCTTCTAACAATATTTAGTTATTTAACAGAAAGGTTCAGTTGGCAAAGTAAACACAAAATACTCTAATGAGAACTATGCACATTACTTAGACCTTAGAAATTCTCTGAATTAAATTCAGAATTGTCAGAATTGTGCAAACATCTTCCAAAATTAAATTATTTCTATTTCCACCACTTTTGACTTCATAACTTAAATTAATTCAAATCACAATTTCATGGAATGGGCTTGATCTAAATCCACTGCAAGAAAGACCTGTAAGCTTGTTATTTATCTATATCCCTCAATATTCAGATCTGCCAAACTCTGACAAAACGACCCACTCATGCAATAATTGGCCAAAATATGTATGTGCTTTATTGTGAAACATATATGCAACTTACTGTGATATTTTTAAAGTTCATCTCTAGTTATATATCTTACTTTTGGGGGAGTCAATTCTATTACCTTTAATCAATGGGAGAAGGGGAGTCATTGTTGATCAGTTTATTACGGAAAACCAAACTGATCCACTTGACCTATGCTGTGAGAAAACATCTTGAAAACGGGCTTTGTTCTTAAAACCAGTAGCTTGTCACCTGACATGTAATGGATATGCCCCATTTTCTCTCTCAGTAGCACAGATGGGGAAACACTGTGGAAATGATGCTGTCGTCAGTATCAATTCCATGTTCTCATCCAACTACTGACAAAATGCACTTTGTTTCCAACTCACACACCACACACTGAATATGGCTTAGTTTCTATTAAAAATAACCCACACTATTTTGCTGTTAATAAAGACATTATTTTCTCCCTGTTACCTGCATATACTGATAAAATGGAACTCTACATTGTGTACAAACACATCATTAAAACAGAGAGGTCATGTTCCCCTTCTATACAAGGCATTATATCCTCCCATTATTCTTGAATACAAGCTGCTACCTATTCCAAAAACATCAGATTCAGCACAGTGCAAGACCTTTCTGTCAGAACTGAGACAATAGTGCAGGGATAAAGTGCGTACATAGTGCATGAACATTTGCTGTCTATTGGACAGGAAACTGAAACATTCCAAAATATGTTTCTCTTCTAATATGGAGTAAGAACAACAAAAGTTTAGTTTTCCATGAAGCAAAATACCAAAATCTGTTAAAATTAAAATTTTCATTGCTTAATTTTCCAGCAATTTTTTATGTAAGTTCTTTACTACTGAAAACTTCAGGACTGTTTATGCATAGAAAGCAACTTATTTTTTAAAACAATATTTAAGAATGGATATGCTACAGTGCTATTAAAACATTTTACCTACTTTTGAAAATCAAAATGTTTTTCCTTTAATGCTGAAGATCAATACAAAGAGGGCCACTGAATTATTTTTTTCCAATATAGTAATAAAAAAAGTTTACAAAAAAACTTACTTTGCTTCAGCTTCTCTGAAATTTAGTACTGCTACAGTTAAATTCATTATCCTGCCAAAGGAAGCTGCAGTCACTACATGGTATTCCAATGTACTAAGAACTTCAGGGTGGGGAAGGTTAGACGCAAATATTTTCCCTGGCAAGCTATGACAAATAAGGAAGGAGCCTTTAGGATGGTCTTGTATGTGAAATCTTTGCCATGATGAAAATCTTTGTTATATGCTATTTCCAATACTAATTTTATTTCCTATTTTATTTAACTTTTAATGCTTTAATGAGAATTAAATCGAGCGCCTCTGAATTTTCTTTTTAATCTTCAACAGAAAGAAACGAGATGTGTATATTTACTCCCTATGTGCACAAAATTATTTGAGGGATGTTGGTTATGAGGAAACAAAACACCATGAAAAATTGTGGAAAATATGATAAAAAGGGGTTTTTTTCTTCACTTCTGTTTTATTTATCATTATCCTTTCACCTTTTATTAAGCTGTTAAAGGAGTGGTATCACCTAAGTCATGTAGTTTTTGGGGCAGAGCAGAAATTGCTGACTATTCTCCCAGTGTTTTCCAGAGACCTAAACCTAAGTGACCTTCTTGTATTAAAAAATATACCAATAATTAATTGAACTGGGCTCAAAATAGAAAACACAATAAAATATTGATTAAAGAGCAAGAGCATGCAAGTTCAAAAACTATGTTCTAGAGTGGACTGGTGAACTAGCAATGGTAATTTTCAATATTGTCTGGCTGGAAAACAGAAAATTAACAAACTTATATAGCAATTTTTGGCTTAAATAATGTCAGACAGTAGAGCTTTCATTCCTCTTGCTTCACTGACTCTAGCCAGAAATAAAAATCTGGAGTAGGATTAGAAGCAAATGGCTGAAATGTTGCACGACAACAAGAGCTGAATGAAAACTTATTTAATTATACATGTGTAGTTATATTTATTAGCTGAAGAAGGAAAAAAAAGGCAAAAATAAATTGTATTCTTAATTATACTACCTCAGAGGAATAAATGAGGGACTAAGTTATATTTTATCTATGAAAGTTAATAAAGTGTATAAAAGCATACTGAAATGCTGAAATTACGCTGAAGCATGATAAAATGTACGAGTGAACTTTGATTTCCAATAAAAGTACTTCTGTTCTAAGTCCTAGTAAGCAAAGACTAGAACAACAGAGCAATATATATATCTATATGTGTGGATTTTCAAATTCCATTTTAAAAAGAACATGTAAGTATCCACTGTGTCTTTGCAAACAGCTTGGATCTGCAACATTTTCTGTCCTTGGAGATAAAAATAAGTTTTTTCCTTCATTAGTATGGATTACTTTTGGCAAGTAACATATAAATAGTACATGCTGTAATATTCTAAGCACATTCATATTTATATAATAGCTAATGTCAGCTCATGATTATGTGTTTCATATGCCAAACATGATTTTGCATTAAGAGCAATTTTGATTAGCAAAAGTCTGCATCTCCAATTAATGAAGGATAGAATGCTTTGTGAACGTGATAGCCACCGAATTCAGTGACTGTGAAGAAATGCTTTGCCCATCTTCAGATGCATGGATATATTTTTATAAAATAACTTATTTTTAGTTTTATTTCTCCAATTATTCCATATTGCATGGCATAAACTCAGAAGTGAGTTTAATTTTGAATCCTTAGAAGCTTACTGCACTGAGCTGAAGACTGCCTGTTGAAAAAGCAACGATATATTAATGAAAAATCCCTGTATTCAAGAAAATTCCTCAGGCTATTTAAACAGAATTTAATTACATTCTCACATTTTCAGTCATACTGTTGTTGCTTTTTGCTTCTTATTCCCCTCTATCCCACCTGAACAGTGACTTCTGCTGTGTTGCATGAAACCAGCTGCCACTAGAGCCACTTTTGCAAGAGGAAAAATTTAGGTTTTCATTAATGGTACCTTTATTGTCCCTATTCTTGGCGCATTATAGCAGATTTTTATGAGCAGCATATTAATACCAGCTATGTGGAAATTAGGGATTTGTTTTAGCTGAAAATATTAAAAGTTACTCTTTTGTCGATTGTTCAAGAGACAGGATGCTTGAGTACGAACATAGCTGAAGAGAAAAGGCTCTTAGTCTGTCCTTCCACTTATTCAGCATGCTCCTCTTCTGGACAAAAATATTTCATTTTGAAAAAAAAATTATATTTTGTGTGCATAAGAGAAATACGATGTCATGAAATCAACCCCAAATTAATGCATTCAGGTGATGTCATTTAAATAAGGTGTACATACAGGAATAGAAACATGGGTAACAGAAATCTCCCTAGAAAAATTATCTCCTATACATTGCCTTAAAATTAATTAAAAACAAATTGACCTAACAATACATTATTCACTAGAATGCACTAATAAATTACTGCAAATCATATTATGGAAGTTTCAGATTACATTGAATTGTTCTATATACATGGATATTCATATTACAGTATCCTTGAATTTAACAAAATCACAGAAGTGCTCCATTGTTTTTAGCAATGTATATTCATAAGATAATATTGTCAAAATTTGAATACTCACACGTAATTTGGATACAGCTGAAATCATTAACCATGTCCAGTATAAACCATAGAAAAAAAGAAATCATACATGCCTAAAACCTCTTCTCCAGCTTTCAACGTTGGTAAATGAATGTGCAGAAATAATAAGTCCTCCCTCTGCCATCAAAAGAATGTCTTTATTAAAATAGCCATTTAATGGCCCTTTCTCCTAATTTTCTTTAGTCAAATTAGCCCATTCTTACCAAAGGTACATAGAGACAATATTAACTACACACAGGTAATTCCCCAAGACAAACCATACCTGCAATTTCCTCAACACAGTGATTGTTTTTATATTTGCTGTTCCTTTTTTTTTTAACCCTGCAATTGAAATTACCTATCCCACCTACATTCTTCATCACATTTCCTGCTGGCATACCATATTCACATCTTCACTCTTCCCTTCCTCCTCACTACTTCCAAAACCTAGTCACCTCTTTCTACACGTATCTCCCATACATATGTGTTTCAATCACTGCAATACTGTCTGCACTGGATTTCCCAACATTCTTGTTGGATCTTCAATTCCCGATCCTTTAAATTTCTTTTCTCAAACATTATGCTGATTATACAGTCAGTGTTAAGAGCCACATGGAAAAGTATAATTTACTATGTCCAAAGGGAAAAACAATCCAATATAACGATGGTGTATTCAATACAAGGAGATACTCAGAAGTAGCAGTGCTACTAAAGGAGATGTATGTAAAGGTGATCAGGAACAGTTTTACACACTCAGGGCAACAAAGAAGAGACTGTGAAACACATATACAAAATTCCACTGTAATTTTAAGAACTCAAAAAAAGCTGAAGAGTTTAATTTAGAGATAAATGCTCCACCAGCACAGAAATGGCACTATTTAATAAAACATGTCTTGTTCTCATATTACTTATTTGGAAAATGGGAAGTCAGATTTTGATGAAAAACATCAGATGTCATCCTGAATATTCACCACACGGACAGTTAATTTCTGTCTCTTTTGGAAAAGTCCTAGACAGCTATCATGGCTTTTACACTGAGTCTCTATTTTCTACCTCCATACTTTTTCTTTTTAGCTTCCAATTTTCTTCTGCCTCCATTTCTTATAAAGCTCATAGGTACTGCATAGGAGTAACCACCTCATGTAACACAACAGTGCGCTGTGCTGGCTGCTACACAAATCTTCCTCCCCTGGCAAATTTACATTATGAGTTATTGACTGTCATATCACAAAACTTCCATGACATCATGCATATATCTGCAGGCAGTCAAGCCTAAAGGTGCAAAGAACAGTGTTTTTCATATTTACATTTGTATTGCACTTACTTGGACATGCAGACAGATGAAGAAATTATATAGTCAATAATTTCAGAAACATATGCATTATTTAAAGGAAAAATGCAAATACTCAGTAACATAAAGCAAACTTCTGTGAGCTACTGCATGAATTATATAATAAATAACAGTTAGAATCATGTATGAGTACTACCAGAGCTTGTCAGATGCTCTAGTTAAGGAACAGATCCTGAAAACAGCTTGCTTTTCTCTCGTTATTTTAATTCCAGCAAACTAAAACTGATAAAAGCAGAGCAAAAGTTCCTTTAGCAGTCTTGCTCAAAACCAAGTTCCTCATTATAGTGTAAAGAACTATTATTAGATTTTTTTTTTAATCTTCTCAAAATTAGACACCTACCTGTTGCTGAACTGGTACTTGCTGTACTACCTGTGTGGGCACTGCTGCCTGGCCAGCCACAGATGTCTGTAAAGTCACAGTCGAACCTGTATCCGCCCCAGTCTCTGATGTCTGCATTGTGATCTCTGAATAAAATTAAAATACAAAATCAAAAAGTTAGTGCATAAATGCTTTTATTCTACCACTTACATTAGCACACTAACTTGTCCCTTATTTCTATTAATATTTTAAAATTAGCTAATCTTGCTGTGAGCCCAAAGATCTTCTCCCTACTAGCACACAAGTTTGTGTAAACTGGATTTTATGTTATTTTAATCTTATTTATATTTGAAATATCTTTTGCTTACATATGAAAAAACGTATCTCGTATCTGAATTTTGTCACTTTAGGAATAACTCTGAAGAATCGGCAGCAGATCTTCTTTCAGCTTGTAAATAACTGGTCAGCATTCTAAACCATTTTTCTGTGTCTTATGGAGTTACACTAAAATCTCTATGCATTCAAATTCAAAGTTGAACTTGAAGCAGGCTACAGAATGAAGGCCTCTACTCTGGAAAGCAAACTCTGAAAAGCATCTAATGAGTCACAGTGAAAAACACATTCAAATAACCTTATTCAGTAGAAAGCATTAAAGCAATTAGTAAGAAACTTTTTGACACTAAAACCATTTAGAAATACATAAATGGTAGACAAGCGCCTATGATCATGGCCCTGATGTTTAAAGGGAACAACAAAATTTGTGTAGAATAAAGAAATGGTTGAAGAATCAAGGAAAATGCCTGACAAGAAAACTTATCAGAAAGACAAGCAAGAATGACATGCCTTCATATGAAACATAGATTGTGAGCTGCAGATTCCTCAATTTTGCACACAGCCAAAATGACAATACAATTGACTGGTGACAAACCAAATTGAATTCAAAATTGTGAATCGGCCTTTTATTTCCCTTTCTTCTTAAATTTCTCTTAAGCAGTGGATGACTAACCAGTGAAAATAATAAACAGATGAGACAGGTTCTTCTTCACCTGGTACCTTCAAAACAGAAGACTGTATATGTCTGTGAAGAATCACAGTGAACAAACACAAATTAGTAGGCTATAATGCAAATGTTCTGTGAGAAATTTTACTGTCTTCAGTCTCTATCACTCTATATTAGCTACAGAATACTTTGGCAATCTGAGAACCACTGCCACTAAAAATGAGTAGCTTTACCATGCAGAATAAAACAGATTGATGTGGGGGAAAAAAAATCTATAGATACTTAGAATGACTTATGCAAGTAATTTTTTTTCAGTCTAACTCATGAGAGGCAGATGGCTGAAGATACTGGACTTTAATCCCTACCACCACCACCAAATAACAAGCTCCCCAAAAAACTACATTTTTTTTTTAGACAATACCATAATAAAAAAATTGAGGGACATACCACTAGATAGTAGGAGGAATTAATTACTGTACCAAAAAATTTCAGTATTCTTGCTTGACAACAGAACCAGCTGTTAACAGCAAACTTTCCTCTCATGGCTAGGTTCCACAGTAGTTTAAGCTGATTTAAGGTTGGGTTTCTGCAGTTTCTCCCTACAACTATCTCTAGATCACTTTGAATTCAAATGTAGCCACTGCAAAGCAGGAAACAGGTATACAAATATGGTATAAGGTCAGGCGACAGACCCAGGACCTTGCCAACTGAGACCATTCTTGGTTTAAACACCAGGAAACCATGCCTATGGCATGCTTGATTGATTTAAATTCTTCTCCTGAAATATTCAGTAAGACTGATAAATTCTTGATCAAACTAATTTCAGATTAATCAATAGACTCTCAGTTTCATGTTAACTGAACCCTCTACTCTTAATCAGTGGATGCACTTCAGAACCCAGCACACCTGACAAAAATCAGCACACAAAAGAAAAAGATAGAAAGAGAACTTCAGATTACATTTATATGTTAAAATCCTAACAATGAAAATGGATGTCCACACAATAAACATGGAGGAGTTGAAAGTCTCCATGCTGCTAGAAAGTTACAACCTAGTTGTGATTACTCAAAGTTGGTAAGATGAACCCCATGGGTGGAAGTGCAGCCATCAAATGGTTACAGGCTTTTCAGAGAGAACAGGTGAGGAAGGAGAGATGGGTATTGTGTTTGTCTGGCAAGGTTTGGGTAGCAAGCGAGGGGGACTACATTCTTCTCTGAGAAGCTGCCAGAAGCTTCCCCTATGTCTGATGAAGAGAGGGCCAGCTGGATCCAAGATGGAACTATTGCTGACCAAAACTGAGCTCTGAGCCCATCAGTGACAGTGGTAGTGCCTCCAAGATATCTAAGGGCGGAAAAAGTTATTGGGAAGAAGCAAACTGCAGTCACAGAAGAAAGGAGTGAAAATACATAAGAGAACCTGTAGACATGTCAGTGGAAGAGCAGGAGAAGGTGCCTGAGGTGAAATTGCAACAGGTTTGCAGGAGGGACTCGTGATCCCAAGGGAAAGCTGTGCTAGAGCAACCTGGTCCTGAAGGGCTGCATGCCATGTAAGGGACCCATGCTGCAGCAATTTGTGAAGAACTGTAGCCCACGGGAATGACTAAAGGAGAAATGCATGGAGGACTATCTCCTGTGGGAGGGACCCTACACAGAAGCTGAGGAAGAGTATGAGTTTATCCCCTGAGAAGGAAAGCACCACAGAATCAATGTGTGAGGAACTGGTGGTAATCCCCATTCTAAATTCCTCTGCACTGCTGGAAGGGAGGAGGTAGGAGAATCAGGAATAAAGTTAAGCCTAGCAGGAAGTGGAGGGTGAGGAGAAGGTGTGTTGAAGATTTAGGTTTATTTCTCATGATCCTACCCTGATTAGATTGGCAATAAATTAAAATAATTTTCCTCAAGTCAAATCTCTTTTGCCTGTCATGGTAATTGGTGAGTGATCTTTCCCTCTTGTTATCTTCATCAATGAGCTTTTAGTTACATTTTCTCTCCCTTGTCCAGCTTAGGACTGGAGTGAGAGTGGTTTTGGTGAGCACCTGGCATTCAGCCAGCACCGCTTCTGTTATTTTGGTTTAAGTCTCTAACCTAAATGCAAAATTTTAGTATAGTTCAGAACACTGTACAGATTTTTCCCTCTAGGTACCATACAATATGGTTTGACAGTCAACCTTAAGCATCTTCCTATTTACTGGAAATTTTTCTAGTATTGTGTCAGTGATACAGTCAGCGTAATTCCTTTACATTGCATCAATATTGAGAGCACTGGTTTTAGCTAGGGTAAAATTAACCTTCTTCAAGGTGGCTGGCATGGGGCTGTGTTTTGGATTTGTGCTGACCACAGGGTTGATAATACAGAGATGTTTTTGTTATTGCAGAGCAGGGCTTGCACAGAGCCAAGGCCTTTTCTGCTTTTGGTGCTGCCACACTGGTGAGGGGACTGGGGGTGCTTGGGAGGCTGGGAGGAGACAGAGCCAGGACAGGTGACCCCAACTGACCAAAGGGATATTCCAGCCCCTGTGGCACCAAGCTCAGTGTATAAAGTGGGATGAAGAAGGAGAAAGAGGGAGGCATTAGGAGCAATGGTGTTTGTCTTCCCAAGTCACCATTTATGTGTGATGGGGCCCTGCTCTCCTGGAGATGGCTGAACACCTGCCAGCCATGGGAAGCCCTGAATTAATTCCATGTTCTGTTTTGCTTGTGTGTGTGGCTTTTGCTTTCTCTTTTAAACTGTTTTTATTTCAACCCCTGAGCTCTTCAGCTTTTACCCTTCTCATTCTCTCCCCAACCCCACTGGTGGGAGAGTGAGTGAGTGGATGTGGAGGCTTGGCTGTTGGCTAGGATTAAAGCCACAACAATAATCTAAATAAAGACTCTCCCATTTTTTCACTGACACTCCATGTAAGTAAAGGAAGTGAATATTACAGCAGAAAAGACGTCATCCTTGCTTAATTGGACGGTCAGGTGTATGACAAACAACAGATGAATGTTTGACAAGGTCCTTTTTATTCTGCCTAATTAAGCAGTTGGACACACCCATCTGTTAATGGTATTGCTTTGTATAGCCAGTGCTTGTTGCATGATGTGAATGTAAGCTAAACAGGTCACATTCTGAAAGAAGACTAATTAACCCCTCCAAGTGGGAAAAGATACTGTCGGGACCCAGCTGCTGAATGCAACAAGGTTAGTATTTCCTCAGGATAATGGGCAGAACTTAGGCAAAGCTACTAGGCTGAAAATTATTCCTTTCCTTATATTCTGTTCAGCTTCATGTTGTCTGTTAAATTCCCTAAAGATTTTTTAATATACCCAAATTCTCAGTTGGAATCCTTCTGTTTTCTAGACTTGAAATATGAAGACAGAATGATTTAAGAGTATAGCTTGCTCTATTACTTATCAAAAGAGATGGTTAAAATGTGTCAGATTATGGTTTATTTTATTTCCTGGACTACTTCACACTGAACTAATTTACTTTTTTAAGCAACCAGAGTTTGCAAAGTTTTGTTCAGCTACATATGCTTTATTGTCTAGATCAAATAATGTAGCACGCTTTAATTCAATGAAGAAAATGAAAGCCTGTAATTTACTTTCAAGTGCAGCAGGAAATTTCTTTTTTCTCCTCTAGAAGCCTAAACAAAACATCACAGAAGATAAACTGAACTAGATCTCGTAATCACATCCAGTAATGGCAGGCTTTTAATAGTCAGAATAAAAGGCTAATCTTAAGATCTTATCTATTTATAATGATGAATAGCCAATATACTAATTAAGAATTTGCAGCAACATAATGTGTTTCACAATAAAGGAAAACTTCTCAGAACATTAAGTTCCAACAATTAATACGGAATGCTTGGCTCCTGAACAAGAGTATAAATGGAAACAGTTTCAGTAATACACTAGTTTCACATAAGCATTCCTTTTCAATTTTTGAATAAACAAAAATTTTATTAATAATTTACTTCCTAATTGTGTTGTTGTTAGTCACAGAGTAGAAGACAGATTACACAAGCTATTCACAGAGGAAGAACAGAATATTACAATAGTTTCTAGATAGTAATGTATTTTCATGTTAGAACCTCAGTTTCTTACTAAACACTATTTGATTGTTTCTTTTCTCCTAAGGTTCTTGTGAATACCAATGTAGGCAGCTGGACTCTGCCTGGTATCAGTACTAGTTGCTAAATACTGCAGTTATTAATAAAAATTTCCTTACTCTTTTTTCAGCTTTTCACGGATTTATGTAGGAGTAACAGATTAACTGAATGGCACAGAATAAAGTTTTAAAAGCCATGTCTCTGGACTTACATATATACTTCTGAGTAGTAACACCCTGCAAAAGAGTAACAAACAGAAAGGTGAGATACAGAGATGCACACTGGAAGGTACTCGTGCAATTACAAACTCCTGGTAACTCCTTCCAAGAAAGTTCATAATATAAAAAGCATGATGATCAGTTTACTGAGTACTAGTCAACAAGAGTCATAATGAAATTCTGTACTATCATTAGATTACAG